GGACACAAACACCAGATATTAGCCAAATCCTGAGGGAGCCATCACTGAAGAAATGTAATCTAATCAGTAGATTAGATAAAGTAGTAACTTTATGATACGATTTCTCTATATATAGCATAATGTGACGATATTTTCCCTACCTAATTTAAAGCTATTTCCCTATTGTTTAGTACAAACTGCATTAAAGCGCAAGCATGGCCTAACTTTCTATGAAAATTTGGCATTTCTCCTTTGCATTTGCATATTATCTACAATTTCACATTCTACGCGAGTTGCGGTCCTGCATCTGCGGCAGACGCGGGAGAAAATCGCGCCGTGAGTGATTTGTTGTCAAATTGTGACTAAAGCGAATTATGGTCGTGGACCACAATTTAAGCGGATCACTTTTGAGCCGCGAATGCCGTATCTTCCCTTTTTGTTTTAATCTAAGCCCCTAGCACGAACCATTATCGAATTCGAATAGTTTGCAAACCGAAATGTCAATGTCAAATTTTGTATTAATCATAAACAGCAGCAGCACAAAGTACGTAACGAGAACTAAAAATCAGTACACATTTGACAATGACATTTCGGAGTCGCAAACGATACGAATTCGATATTGGTTCGTGCTAGGGGTACAGTTTAGGTATTAGCAGTTTACGTTATCTGTTCGATTACGGTAAAACATACACACAAACCAAAACATTAGAATGAAATAATAAATTTTCTAATAATATTTTGAGCAATTCACTACACTCGGCAATTCTATTGTATTTCATAATATTTCTATAGAAATTGATCGGCAACCATGACCGTGGCAATGCCTTATATTATATTGCTCAAGAAACAGCAGTAACTAAATAGAGTTATCGACAACATTCATTTACAATTGAACATTAGAAGTTATTAATATATTATCGTTACAGGTATTTCTTATTCATAATTATCAATTACAGAAGGAGGCAACAAGGTTTTTACAAGATAGTAATCTTAAGATTTTTTTGTAGAAAAATATCCACTCAGTCCAGGTTTAAGACGGGATTCGAATCCGCATCTTTGCTCTTACCAACCTCGCCTAAGAAATACTAGAGGAAATTTGACACGGCCATTAAGTTCTCGGTAGCATAATTGGTAAGTGCGTCCGCCTAGGTAGAGGAAGACGCGGTTTCAAATCCCGGCTGAAACCTTGACTGACAGGAGTTTTTTCTACTATTTTCTTTAGATCTAAACATCTAGCAGTTAAATGCTTAAAATAAAAAATATAGTAAGAGTGTAAATTGTTCTAATTGTTAATGATTTTTCATAGAATCTGTAAAAGTAGAAACTTCTTGTAAAAGTAAGCAATCAGTTTCTTTGAGCTTTATAATTATTATAAAGGGGTATATATTATAAAGAGGTGGCTGAAAAACAGCGTTGGTTCAGGTCTAGGCTTGACCAACATTGACTGAGCCAATCCCTATTGTCTTATTTCTAATGAAATTTTATTTTAATATCTGTTGACATGTAAAAAAAAGACAATAAATTATTATTATTGTTATAATTATACTACCCGACTTATTAATACTTATTGTAAAATACCCTTTTTTTTATAACGCAGGTAAAAATTCTTTTTACAGACGACGACGCCTTTAAGAGGCACAACGCCGAACGGACCTCACACCTGGCTCCCGCAAGTCTTACGGACCCCCCCGTGGCTGCCCACCGAGGACCCTGCAACTGTTACGGGCGCTTTACGGCATAATATCCGCTAAAAAAAGTCCTGCGAATACCTTCTACACTGCTTAATGCGAAGCCGCGGGGTCCCCGCTGGGGATTCTACCGCGATATTGTAAAATACTCTTGAGATTACAAAAATAATTTTGAAAATTGGCCCAGTATTGATGAAGAAAGCTCGTAACAAACATAAAAAAGCAACATACAGTCGAATTGAGAACCTCCTCTTTTTGAAGCTAAATGAAAAGATAGTTTGTACGAGTATGTCTGGATGTGTTAAACATATATTGATCAGGCAAAAACTTTTTGGATGAAACTTTGAACTTAATTAGTTTATTATGGCGCAATTACATTTGGTTGTTAGCCTGTATTCGAGTGCATGAAAGACATTACTCGAATTCGGGCTCCCGAAGCAATATTTACACTGAAATAAAACTAAAAAACACGGTAACCAAAACGAAATCTACCCGACTACGGGCATACTCGACTCTGTTCATTTACACTTAGTCGTTTACCCGAATTGGCACTCGTATTCGGGCTAAAGTCTAATTATAATCGCGTCATTACTAAGAGAAAAGCATGGGTTCCTCTTTATACTGGAATATATTTAATACCTAGGGTATTATTTTTGTGTCTTAGGTTTTCCCGCACATCCCTCATTGAATAAAACGAGTTTAAAACGGGTTAGATGCACTGATTTTATTTATTTATTGAAGATTTCGTATCCTTTGTAGGATGCGTTCTCTGAATAATGAATTTTTTATTTACTTTGTTGAGCTACCTTCGAAAGACTTTTGTTAAAAAAAATTGTAAAAAAGTCACTTTTTTACATTTTTTTGACTGTTGTTAAAAAAAATGTAAAAAAGTGACTTTTAAAACTTTTGACTTTACTTTTTTGGCGGGCCGCTAGTAAATAAATAAAATCAGTTCATCTAAGTCATATTGCCCTAGGCGATTATCAAAATGTGAATGAACTATCGTAAGTCAAAAGTAACTACCAAATGTATTTATTACTTCACGAGTAGATTTTCTGATATTTTCTCCATTAAAGGTTCTCGAGGGATTTTTTATTGCGCACGTACGAATTCGCAGGCCCTTTGCCCGCAAATTAGTAAAGTAATTATTAGTTAGAAAACTTTGTAATTGGCTTCTAAGGGCATTTGTTAACGTGACGATATCTACCCGGGTCTAGGCACGGTTTTAAACCATTTACTACGTCTGGTCGCCAGTTCAGTATGGGACACTGTGGAGGTTTAATAACAGGGACGCTATGTTTTTTCCATACAAACATTCTCGGCTGATTCTTCCATGATTTCTATCACAAAAGATTGATTTTCATACATAAAATATAATTTTACTCATTCTATGCTCGTATGTCTTACTTTTTTCAATAACTTGTGTTACAAAGAAATTAGAAGCCCTCCAAATAGGCCAAAAATAAACAAATTTTTATCACCACTAAAAGCGCCTAGAGTGGAAAATTAATAAGCATTACAAAAAAAACAAAACCTAGAGGCATAGTATAACTCCCTAAAATTTCTTTTGCATATCGCACCTCCAGTGCGACACTGTCACTTATGCAAAAACAATTTTTTTTCAGGAAGAGCGTTAAAAACTTTAACATCCCAAAACATACAATATTTAAAGATTTTTACGTGATGAAAAGCTTATACAGCTTAGCTATACATCTATAAAAAATAAACTTTAAATATTGTATGTTTTGGGATGGTGCGATATATCAAATTTTCGAGGAGGAAATCGTCGAGAGCCAAACCACGAATTATTCAATTTTTATACGCAATTTTCAGCGTTAACTACTGTTGTCCCTATCGCACGGTATTTGCCAATGCATGACAGCAATAGTTTTTTCAAATACCTATTTCTCAAATATCTCTTAGCTCGCGTATGGTTGTTTGGGGTCGCCACAAATAATGTACAAACCGTTCTACGGAACAAGTTTTCGGCTCGGGTAGAAATCGTCACCTTAACAAGCGCCCTTATTTGAATAAGTTAAAACATAAATCACATATAACACGGGATCATGTCACGAACAAAATAGAATTTTTAGATTTTCAATGTGGTGCCATTAATACAAGAGGTCATTAAATAACATTTCAAAATGTAAAAATGGTTAAGTGTCGTGATCGAAATGAATTGTGAACAATTATTTCAATAAGAAAAATATATACGACAATTTTGAAAACGACAACAACATTTTTCATGCTACTGTACTACTTACATGTTGCACTGTTCATGTCCAGTCATCAACATTGAGGTATAAAAACACTCGTTTTAAAAAAAAAACACTCGGTTTTTTTTTAGTTCTATTCTTCTCTATTGAGAAAGGCAAAGGCAAAACCATGCAGCCATCGTCTTATTTTTGTATTAATCTTCCTTTTTTTACATTAGAATGTGGGTGTGACGCATTCTAATGTTTCTTGGAGTGTTTGGCACGAAATATATCGAGTTTGCTTTTTCGATAAGCTTCTGTGAGGTAGTCAATACTACAATAAAATTCTCACGTCCACTTGACCGGAATAGAGTATATTTTAAAGATTCCACTAAATCTTCAGTAGCGCAGACAGTTGTAACACAAAATCACACCAAATTCATTTCACAATATCCACTTTGAACAAATTTAAGAATAATGAAAATAAGACGCCAACCGCACTCGATCAAATCCCTCCAAAAACTCCAAAAAACACTCTTATTTTTACGTCAATGACAACCATGCGTGAATTTATTTAAGTTGTAATTTTATCAATTAACTTCTTAGTATGTCTTATATTATTAAGCAAATGCAATATAGACTAGATAGGCAATAACAAGTGTACTTGGATTCGTGAGGTCGTGGATGTATGACTGTTAATTAATTTTATATTAAGAGTCGATTTAATGATGGAATATTTTGTTAATTTGATTATTGCTATGGAAAAGATGAAATGGATTAGTTTAAATATATAGCTTCATAAAAATAATTACACAACTTAAGAACTGACTAACGATTCTTCTAATACGATATTTATAAAATAATTATTTCTTGCACAATAAACTGATATAATTTCTCCCGTGTCAAAGTATAGTTTTTATAATAAGTTTGAGTATTTACGCTTTAGAAAATATGATTGTACTCTTCTTTCATAATTAGCTTACCTTTTATTGTATTGTACTGTGGTTTCTTTCAATTTCTTAATTTATCATGCGTTAAATAATTAAAACACAAATGCAATCACTAACACATAATACTTAATAAATACAAATTAAAAGTAAAATTAAAATAAAAGCATTAATAAACAAAGAATACTCACTTGCTGCCGTGATGTCACTGTATCCCTTATTCTAATATCACAGGATTTTATTTAAAAAAAATTAAAAAAATATTTACACAAACACTATTTCAATTTGTATAGGAGAACAACACTTTTTAAAAAATCGAAAGCAATAATATATTATTTACACAACGTATTAAAAAAAAATACATTTAACACTGGTCGGTTGCAATTTAAATTTACATGTCCCATTCAGTTCGTGTTAGATATTAAAAAAAAAGTTCAGTTCGTAATTCGAAAAAGTTTTAATGTTTTTACATTTCGAATGCGTCGCGCGATTCTGTTCGTTGAATGAACAGTTCGTTTCAATGGCGGCGTGGTGCGTGCGAGCGTAAAGCCGTTCGCGGGCAGACTGTCTTTCAGGTAACACGCGGCAATGCTTTTAATATCAGGTGAACAACTCAATCAGATCGGACTGTGACTAAAGCGGTTATTACACCTTCTTCAAGATAGTAGGATAAATAGAAAATTGAGTGTAACAAAATTTTTTTCCAGTGGCTTTTTCTCGAAATCCTTTGTCTATGTTTTTTACACTACAATAGGCGTATGTATATTGTATGCAAAAAAAAAATCAGTGTATTTCTTTCAAATTGAATTTCTAATGTATATTGTCTGTAATTCACTTTTAAATCTATTTTAAGCATCAACATCCACTTACACTTTTTAGTAAGTTTGTACCAAAAGTCCGTTATTTTGATTATACCCAGAAATCTTTAGGTATTTGAAAAAAAATGTAAATTCGAAAGTTGTAAACCTTTTAATTATTTACAATTAATTTAGGAGTTTTTCCGAAAATCGCAAAAAAATAATTTTGACCCCTTAAAACAACGAGAACCGTGACAACGACGCATTTGCATTTTCGGACATTTTTTCCATCTTATATATAAAATTCTCGTGTCGCGGTGTTTGTGGTTAAACTCCTCCGAAACGGCTTTCCCGATTCTCATGAAATTTTGTGTGCATATTGGGTAGGTCTGAGAATCGGACAACATCTAATTTTTCATCCCCCTAAATGTTAAGAGTAAACCACCGCTATTTTTTTTTATGATACATCATACAAAAATACATACAACCCTAAATTTTCACCCTTCTACCACCAACCCCTATTTTTTTATAGCGGTACGAAGTTCGCTGGGACAGCTAGTATTAATATATATTTTTGTTTACCTACCATCAGAAAGAAAAGGATTCAAAGGAAAATGGCGCACCAAACTTAAAAAAAAACTGTTTTTTGATGGGAGGTGTGCGTGTTTAGGACATATGAATTGGACTAGACTGGAATTTCCAAAGTCTCTTGGAATTGGTAAATCCCGACAAGAATCTATTCCTAGTAGTATCAACATTGATTCACTCAACTTTCGCATTTCTTCCTCTTCTAGTCTTAGTGATTCTAACAAGACCAGGGGGGCAATCACCTAACGCCATTGCTATAGATATAAATAACAAAATAAAATCGTTAGCGATAGTCATAGCAATCTCGTTAGGCGATTTCCCTGCAGTACTTTAAATTATCTTTCTTCTAAAGAAAATATAGTTAGAAAAAATTCCACCCGGACCAGGCAGCAGACGGGACTCGAACCCGCACCCGTCGAATGCACTGACCAATTATGCTACCGTGGCCCTGACGGCCGCGTCGAAATTCTTCTAGCCATTTTTAAGCTGCAAGGCAGCGCCATCTCTTCGCATTGTAGGTAACCCACAATCAAGCAAGTGTAAACATCAAGCAGTTACATACTTAAAAAAATATATATAATTATCTACCTTCGTTACCAATTCCTGACTACTCTCTGTTTGTCGTGTTTCCTATACGACAACGATACGACTCGCACGTTGCCAAGATGTAAGCATCCCTCCTACCGTCGAGCTTAAAAATTAGTCAAACGCTAAAAAATCATAAAAATATGGCTGTATATCCGTTTATTCTAAGCGTTAATTATCAAAAAATATTCGAGAAGTAAAATTTAGAAATTTTGATAGTCAATTTGTTAACCCTAAACTGGGCCTAACTAAGACCACGTTGTTTGATACACAGTTAAATTTGACTATTGGTCAATGTCACGTCAAATACATAGTAAATGTGTAAAATATTGACAAATGTTTATTTTTTCTACATTACTAAGTATAAGTGGTTTAAAATAATTTTCTACAGAACTCGACTTTTCGCATCCTGAAAAAATAAGAAAAAATAATTTAACTATGGTCAAATGTAAGTATATGTTTGAAACAACGCACCCTTAGCCTCTGACTGACTGGAGCCATAGAAAACTAGTTTAAAATACTAAATAAAGATGCGACATAATGTCACAAATTGATTAAAATTGTTAACGTGCCTAAAAATTCATGCAAATCAACTACGGAACTTTGATCAAATTGTGTTTAATTCTTGTAGAATTGACAGACTGAGTGGGTACATATCTTATTACATTGGCAGCATAAGTGAGACAATGTGATCGCTATAGGAATTATTGAAGACAAAATGTTTACCGATAAGTTTCCGATAAATTAAGGACGCTATAATCTACAGAATTATGTTCCGCAAGGATATCTCTTATCTATTAGACAAGTCCGTCCGTCCGTCCGTCTGTGGTGCTGTTTCAGCGGCCAAACCGTAAGAGATAGATAAAGAGAATGTTTAAGTTATAAGTTAAGAATAGTCTGATAAGACTACAAACCGGATTTGAGTAACGTAGCACTTCCGGTTTTCGAGAAATCACGAATTTCAAACGAAACCACACAAAATCTCCGAAGTTCTCAATTAATTAAATACATTTTTTTTAAATCAGGTTTTGGTGAACATTTGGTTCACTGGTTTGCTAGTATTAATCATAATCGTAGTGAATGACAGATAAATCAATTTACGTCATTCCATTAATTGTTGTTATGGAACCGTATTTAAAAAAAACAGTACTGATTATATTTTTTCTAATCACGGTTTTATCTAACCAGACACATATCTAATTTTTACATAACTGGCTGTGCCTCGCGGTATTCCCCGCGGTTTATTTGGGATATTTTGCCGCAGTAAAACGTAGCCTATGTCTTAATCCAGGGTGTTAGCTAAATCCTTACCAAATTTTATTAAAATCTCTTCAGCCGTTTAGACGTGAAGAACTAACAAACATATACACTCACTTTCGCCTAAATAATGTTAGTGTGATGTACAAGCACATAATGTTAGCATCGACATGTGAAAACCTGTTTGAAACATCTCTCCAACATTTTTCCCTATACCACCAAACAAATTTGACGACCTCTGTGGCCGAGTGGTTTGTACACCGGGTTTCAGGGTGTCGCCGACTCGAGAGGTCCCGGGTTCGAGTCCCGGTGGGGGCAGATGTTTGTGTGATGAATACGAGCATTTGTACTCCAGTCATGGCTGTTTGATATGTATTTCTATATAAATATACTTATACATATATGTATTCTATCCGTTACCCTAGTATCCCATAACACAAGCCTTACAGTGCTTACTTTGGGGCTAGGCTAATTGGGGTGAGTGTTGGTAATATTTATTATTATTTATTTAATTTGAATTGGTGATATAGGGAAATATATTATTATGATATTTCATTTATTGATTCCATGTGCTATTTTTCCTTGTGAATTTCTCTAAAGCCTTCCAAAGATAAGGACGGTTGCAAGAGCAATAGCGCGTTTGGCCTACGACTGTAGAAGTAAAGCAACTTCCGCAATGGTAGGTCATTGGATGGGTGACCAAAATTATCTCGAGCTCCATTGTGCTTTGGAAGACAGATTAAGCCGTTGGTCCCGGCTGCATCTGCAGTCATTAGCACCCTACCTTCCCACACTGGTCACAGTCCCAGCGTGTTGGTTTACGGCCCAACCTTCCTATTCCATCCATGGGGAAGACCTGTGCCCCAGCAGTAGTGATATTAATAGGCTGATGATAATAAAATCGTGGCAATGTAAATACACTCTTATTTAAGGTGACAAGAGGAAGAATGATGGAACTTATCAAAAGATGAAAAATAGGACAGCCAAGTTCAATACAAAATTATGGTTGGCTGTGGGCTTCGCCGCAAAAAGAATGGAGATCTAAATGAGTGCCAAGTTCTATGCAAAATCCGAATATGTATTTATAGGAACAAAATAACATTATGAATAAGTATTCAACTCTATTTCTTTGCTTTATTGGATACCTATAACGATTGCTGTTATTTAAAAATGTGAGATCTTAAAGTAGGTTACATTTGACTTGGCCAGTTTTTATTACATCAGTCATATTATAAATTAATTCAACATATATATATACAAAGAACGCAGTGGACTGGTCCTGTGCGGTCAATGATACTGTTTGAATAAAGTTTTTTTTTATTAGTTTACATTATTAAAACCATAATTCTTAGTAACTAATTACTCTTTTTTATATATATAATATATTTAATATAATATAGATATAATTAAACACACGTACTTTTATGTGTTTACGTTAAAGAGGTTTTGAGTTATTGAAGGGTCAAAAGTAGCATCAAGTGATTCGTGTAGTATTACACTCGGCGCTGGCTAGCCAGTTGTTTTGCTTGAACTTGGCTTGGCACGCTGCCACGTGTCTAGATTTACCGCTCGGATTAGGAATTAAAGCGGTTCATCTAGCTATGTAACTTCCACCTCACAGAATAGGTACCACGGTATAACAAACTGCCTATTGCTGATGTTGTGTTTCTGTCGATGAGTAACATTTCAGGGTTCGACAAGGTAAGGATTTGGGTTAAGGACTGCCAGCTAAAGAGGGCTGGACATTTTTGAAATGAAATGTTTTTTCGGACGAGGTAAATGGAAAAATGAAACGGAAATGCGCCACGTATATATAGTCATATATATACAGGGTATTACAGAATTCCGAAATAAAATTTGTAGGTATGTATTCCGAAATAAAAATTTGTAGCGGGGCGCAGGGGCGCCTGGGGGAGAGAGGGGGGTCTGTTTAGGTAGTAGTAATCGTACGCATTTATAGGGTTGTACTAGGCAGGTGTAAAACGATATTTTTATTAATTTAATTAGAAAATAAAAGTGGTCTGAAAGGCGTCAAACTTTCGTAGGTAATTCTATACAAGGAACACAACCAAACCTTAAAGTTTTATTTCGGACTTTTGTCACACCCTGTATATATAGTCGTGTGACACTCGTGACGCATTTCCGTTTCATTTTATATATGTATGTGTGGGGGGCGGGGGGGGGGCTGCGTGCGCAGTTCTTACGTCCGTGCACACTAATCCCATTTCATTATGTTAAAAAGGTGGTAAACAAGCATGTGGCCAGCCCGCTTGCGAAAAAATATAACTCGCGCGATTGCTTACCCTAACCCAAACCCTTACCCACCGACAGAAATTTACTCAAATTTTAAGTTAAAAACAAATACATTTGTTTT